AGATAAGAAAAGTGAGAACAAAGAGTAGAAAAACAAAAAATATTTTTGAACAAGAGAGAAGAGCACAGAAAAAACAAGAGAAAAATGAAAAGAGAAATAAGAGCAGGAATCGAACCCAAAAATTTTATGTGTGAAATATTTTAGATATTAAAACACATTTTGTAAAAAATATAATAAACAAGTTGGAAAAATTTTAATTCCGGGATCGAACCCCAGACTTCTGATAATTATTTTCGATTTTTTTTCTAAATTACGAAACAGTCAAATAAATGAAAAGTTGCTTTAATGAGGTAAAATGGGTCAAATTGACACATCTTTTTAGTTTTATTACATAAGAGAGATAGAGTCCTAGAAAGTTTCTCTCCAAGATTTACCCTATTAGTGGTTAACGAAAGTACAATATTTTAAAACACTCTGTATACATTGGGTTAAAGTTTGTTAACATTGAACAAACTTTAGCTGATTAAGTACGTGTCGAACTGTGATTATGTTTCCTCTTAGCGAAATGAGCTAATAGCTTTATAAAGTTTTCTCTCAGGAAACTTCTAGATAATCCCTCTTGACCAGTTTATTACACACTTGTCAATATGTGAAAGTAAACTCTTCAAAATTGTCTATTTAAATAATAAAGTTCCTTAATAAAAATAGCTAAAATTTTTTGAGATGATGTAATTGTTTAAACTTATTTTTCTAATAGAAACAAAAATTTACTCTAACTTTGTTTTAAAATTGTTAGAGTTGCTGTTAGTTCACCCTTCGTAAAAGTCTTTTGTTGTTTTTTTAAACTTTGAGTAAAAACACGAAAATCGTTTCCCTACTTTTTTGTGACTTCATATAAAAGCCGTGCTTTCAGTTGCATCGTCAGCATAGTTATTCAAACTTCACTTCTAACGAGTTGAACAAAAAGTTTCTCACTAATTGGGTCAATAGGAATAAAACGTGGACTAGAGCGATATATTTTTATTTCAATAAATAAAACATACAAATAAAATGTTTTCATCACATCAAATAAATAAAAAAATCTTTCATTTGATGTGTTATGTAGCAATTATCACAGCTTCAACAGATATAATAAACATTGAAATTACAGAACAGTTTTGATTGTTAATTGTGACAGTCATTATAAAATATATACCGTTATATACAGGCTGTCACAGCGAGTTGAAAACTCTATAGAATTGTAACTTATTTTTGAGACACGCTGTATAGTTGAAATTTTAGGCGATGGACTAGATTAGTATCAATCAATTTAAAGGTCACTAATAAACTTTTTCAACTCGCTGGGACACTCTGTATGTGAAACTATGTTCAACACGCTACAAACTATACATTTCTTAAACGCTGTATATAAATTTCCTAGACTATACATACATTATACGCACTGCAACATGTTTTTTACATTAAGTCGTATGATATATAAACAATAATATCCACCATCAAACTTTTTTTTAAACAAAAAAACAAAAAAATAAAAAATAAAAAAAAATTGACGTGAATAATTTGTATGGTGGGGCAATGTCTGAAAAAAATTTTTGACCAAAATTTGAACTTGGTGATTTCCGTTCAAAAAAACTTGGTATTAGATTAGCAAATTTGATAATTACAAATTAATCGATGTTTTAAAACTTTGTTTAATGACCAAAATTAAAATTTTGATAAAACAATCAATCTGAAATTAATTTTTCTAATACACAAAAGTCGTCCCCTTCGATGTGTTAATACATAAATGTAGCTTATATTTGTTTAGCCTAAGTGACATAAAAATAGCAAGCCTCTATTTACAAAGCAAAAAAGACAGATTTTTTTTATTTCTAGTTAAATATCTCGTTATTTTAAAGCCTGGACCGCGATTCCGTCGTCTACAACGACGGCTTATTTATAAAAGACAAACTGAAAGTCTTGCACAGCACACACTCAACATCCAAATACAAATAGCGCTTAAGATAATTGTTATGTCTAATGCAAAGCAAGAAAATTTATGTTCTTGGTGTTCCCAGCCCAACCCTGTTGATTGCAATCTCACGATGCAGAAGAAGGTACATTTTATCCACATAAGAAAACTTGTTCAAAGGCCTCTTCCTTTTCCATTTATTAAAAAATCTCGTATCAAAATACGTCTAACTTGAAATGTGAGGAATGTTTAGTTATTGTTCCCGGAAATAAGCTGTCATTGGACCGTAAATGTTGACATAGCATAACATTAACCCGTTTTGCGAACCCTTCCACGAAAATAAATCGTATTTGGAGTAATTGACAAAAAATTCGATAAAATAAAAAAAAAATTGAGGGAGCAAATTTTATCGCAGAATCATTTTTAATTCATGTCTAAACTCGCATTTCAGTGTCTGAGAAAACATTCCCAATGTTTCACTTATCTAACTGTACAAAGTTTTAACTTGTTGGTAGTTTAATGTTTATTTAATAAAGCTCCACAATTTAAGATACTTCTTCGTTCCTCGCTACAAATTTAAATTTATAGAACATAATCAACATAAGACTCTGTTTTCATTTTGCGTTATTAATGAAATTATTTAAATGAACTTTGAAAACTTGCAATTGCTTGTAGAAATCAACTTGAATCACGTGATTTCGAGCGGGTAGCATTACAATAACATGCAACAACCAGGTAGTCCATATTTCAAGTTTCAATTTTATTTGCGTTAAATTAAGTTTTTAACTTAAAAAATTGCATCAGTGGAAGAAAATTAACAACCTTAAATTTTTAATACAACACGTGTTTCGTCTATAAAGTGGTCATCTTCGGGTGAACTAAGGATGCCACAGTTAAATAAAATTTTGCAAAAAAATTGCCATCAACAGATTAAAAAAATCATTTTTTTAAATTTTTTCCAAAACAACAAACTTTTATTTTTAACACG